GTGCATATTGTTCAATATCTATGTGTTTATATATTTTCTGGATATTCTTGTGTTGTTAATTTCCAGCTTCATTCCATTGTGGGCAGAAAAATGCATGGTATGATTTCAATTTTTATGAATTTTCTGAGACTTGCTTTAATGGCCTAGCATATTGTCTATTCTAGAGAAAGTTCCATGCACTTATGAAAAATATGTATTCTGCAACTGTGGGAAGAAAGGGTTTGTAAATTTCAGGTCCTTTTGATCTATAGTGTAGATCTTTTCTATCTAATTGAACTGTCCAATGGCAAAAGTAAGGTGTTGATGTCTCCCATTATTATTATATTTCAGTCTATGTCTCCCTTTAAATCTATTAACATTTTGTAATAATCATTGAGTTAACTGGCATTGTATAATTGTATAATGTATATTAATTGGAATTGAGTTAACATACATTTGGTATATTCACATATTCCTATTGAATTGATCCCTTAATCATTACTTAGTGACCTCTCTGTCTTTTAAAATTGTTGTGATAAGTCTATTTTGTCTGATGTAAGAGTGACTATAACTGCTCATTTTTTGCTTTACACTAGCATGGGATATCATTTTCCATCCTTTCTCTTTTAGTCTCTGTATATCTTTGCTGGTGAGCTGGTGTTTTTGTAGGTCACATGATGAGGTGGTGTTTTTGTAGGTCACAAATAGATGAATCTTGTTTTTGAATCCATTCAGCCAGTGTATCTTTTAATTGGAAAATTGAGACCATTTACATTCAAAGTTATTATTGATAAGCGATGAGTTGGCCCTGACATTTTTCCATATATATTTCTATTATTTACTTTGGATTTCCATTGTACTTTTTTACTGATAGATTTTCTGCCTTCACATTCTTTCATAATTATAATTATCATTCAATGTTTCTGTGTATTGCATATCCTTTAGCATCATTTGTAAGGCTGGATAAGTGGTGACAAATTATTTTAATTTCTGTTTATTATGGAAGGTCTTTTCATAAGTGAAAACTTTGCAGGTTACAGTATTCTGGGTTGACAGGTTTTTTTCTTTTAAAACTTGGACTATGTATTTCCATTCTCTGTTAACCTATAGGGTTTCTGATGATAAATCTGCTGTGAGTCTAATTAGTGATCCTTTGAAAGTAATCTGGCATTTCTCTCGTGTACATTTTAGAATCTTTTTATTTTCTGTATTACTGTTGAAAGTTTGACTACAATGTGTTGTGGTGAAAATTTTTTCTGGTCATGTCTATTAGGAGTTTTGTGTGCCTCATGTACATTGATGTCCCTTACTTTCTCCCAATTAAGGAAGTTTTTTTTTTTTTTTTTTTTTTTAATAATTTTGTCACTGAATAGCCCTTATAATCCATTCTCTGTTTCCACATATTTAGGAACTCCTAAGTTCCTGTGTTCCAAAGACCCTGTATTGGGTCATTTGATAGTGTCCAATAAATCTCCAACACTATTTTTAATTTTTCTATTTTTTTGTCTGACTGTACATTTCTAAAGATTTATCTTCTAGCTCAGAAATTATTCTTTCTTCTGCCTCACCAAGTCTGTTAAAGTTTTCCACTGTATTTTTATTTGACATACTAAATTCTTCATTTCTAATATTTCAGTTTGACTTCTCTTCAAAATCTCAATCTCATAGGAAAAAAAATTCTTCCATATCATGGATAGATTTCTTCAACTTGTGAATTAGCTTCTTATTGCTTCTGAGTAAACCTATCATTAATCTTTTGAGTTCCTTTTCAGACATTTAATCCATCTCTTCATCTTCATATTCTAATATTGAAATGCTGCTGTTTTCCTTTCAGAGAGTTGTATTGTCTTCCTTATTCTTGTTCCTTGAATTTCTTCATTTACTTTTAGACATTTATGGAAACACTTGTTTTTTGTTTTTGTTTTTGTTTTTTTCTCTAATGGCTTTTTTTCTTAGAACTATGTCTTGGTGGCTTTGCAGAGTGTTTGCTCTCTCAGTGAATACCCAGAGGCATGTGCTAGGTATGGACAGGGAACTCTGTTCAGTGCTCCAGGGTGGGGTATCTAGGGTGACACCTACATTGGGTGGGCATGGTAGATCTTTTCTATTGTCAGCAAGGGCTAGGGTATGTCTCCTCTGTCAATGTAATCACACCCTCACCTCCTGTCTTCCAAGGTGATCAATGCCCTGGGTTAGCCTACTGTGGGTTCAACACTAGCCTATACTGTTGAATGAACCCAGGTAACTCTGAGCCTATACTCTGAGCGCTGTACTCAGTGACTGCTTAGAGACCTAGGAGTCTTGTGCCCCAGAGCCTGTTATATGCTGAGAGGCTTGGAGTGCCTCATAGTCGTATGTGGGTGCCCAATCCTCTATCAATCCTCCAATCTAGACTCAAGGTCAGTGAGGAATGTAGATTTTTCCCTCTGGTAAAATCCCTGGATCACACACATGCACAAGAGCCACCATAGGCTCTACTGGTGTCAATATGATGCCTTGTACCTGCCAGGCGCTGGGTGTGTGCACAAGAGCTATTGCAGCCACTACTAGTGTCAACATGGTGCCCTATCCCAGCCTACCTGTTACTGGGCACCATTGAGTGAGTGAGAATGGGGAGAGAGAAACGTGCCCCTTTTTTTGATTGGTTAGACGGGAACCCTGTCCTCCTTGGGCTCCAGATTGGACTCAAAGACCGTGTGGTCTTCCAGGTTCTCCTTCAGATAATATTATCAGTGGCATGGGCTGCTGCAGTCTGCTCTTACTTTGCTATCTAAAGCTGTCAAGCTTCCTCCAGCTCTTGGCTGTGGGTATCCTGTGTTTTGTCCACACTCATTGCTGCATGTCCACAGCTTCCATTGCTGATCCACAGCATCCCTTTTTCTTCTGTAGAATTTCCACTGAAAATTTCTCTCCAATGCTCCCCTGTGAATGTATTTCTTCCACATTTTTGCTACTATGTTCCCATGGCCTAAAGCAGTATGTCCTTCCCCTGTTTCACCATCTTGGAATCCCCTCTTGATTAAATTTCAATGCCCATTAGTAATACTATTTACAATAAAATTTTAGCAAAATAAGAATAAAAGTATTCATCTTGGCATGTCAATAGGGGTCCAACCAGGAAAGGGGAACTATATAGCAATATGAATAGAGAAGGCTGAATGTAAAATTTTAAAAAACTATCATAAACTATTTGAGTAGGAGTTTACTAATGATAAGTAAACACAAAACTGAAGAATATAGCAAATATAAATGTAGCACCTCTCCTAGGTTTGGATACAGGGTCCAAGGAGGACCTGGACATATATGCCTGCTGAGATATAGGTGTAAGTAACCCATTGCTTGAGTTATCACAGCTGCTTTCCAGGTTCTGCTTTAGCTGGAATCTGGAATCAGGAGCTCGAACCAGGTACCAAACCAGGTATTCATGTGTTGAACATCAGCATCTAATTGGTATCTTAAGAATTAGGCCAAATACTTACTCCCTAATGGGTTCTTAAATAAGTGTACCTAAATGTGAAACCTTGGGGTAGATATTTGGACTAACAGATAAGCTGCCAGTTGGGATGCCCGCTTCCAGTATGGAAGTACTTGAATTCAATTCCCAGTTTCATTGCTGATTCCAACTTCTGGTACATGTTGAGAGGCAGCATATGATGGTTCAAGTAATTGGATTCCTGCCACTAATGTGAAAGAAATAGATTGCATTCCCAACTCCTGGCTTTGGACCCTGGTCCAGGGCTATTGAAAATATTGAGGAGTAAACTAGTAGATGATATCACTCTCTCATAATTCAATTAATTATTTATAAATATAAATCATTTGTCTGCAAATTAGTTGCTGTTAATGTGAACTATAAAATTGGAATGATAATAACAATGACAATAGATATCCTGATGCATAACATTAAGTACATACTCATGTAGTGGTTATCAGGATTGAAATGAAACAATGTTATTAAAGTGCTAAACATATCTTGTTTAGCTGATAATGAATATTCAAAAACTGTCAAAGATTATAACGGAGATTATTTTTACTATTAAAAGTGATACCCTTGATGCCAAGATAGCAGTACAGCATCAAGACATTCCAAGTCATGTGGGGCAAAATATATAGTTAATAAGGAAAGGGGATACAAGCCAGTGACAAAGCTGTGAGAATTTCATGCAGAGAAGCCCAGGAGTCCAACGGAGAGAATGAGCAGGGCCATGCTGAGGGAGCAAAAAGTGGTGAAGGCATGGTGGAGAAGCCAAATGGGGATACTGATGGCACCCCCAGGCAGGCCAGGTGAGACATGAGGTTGCGAGTCCACGGAGCTATGGATAGCAGTGGATGGAGGAGCCTGGAAGCTGTGTTTGAAGTTCCAAGTGGAAAGAAAGAGAAAGTTTAAGGGAATAAACAGAGTGGTCAGGCACACCCTGTCCATCTATGTCTCCCCCCTACCCCCAACCAGACCTTCAGCCAGCTGGAGAAGCTTATTGTTTGTTTACATTTTCAAATGTAAGCAGGGGACTGCTACATTTGCCTACCTTGCACAAAGCCATCAATTGTGGAGGCCACTTCTCAACACCCCACACCTGAGAATGAGGATCTCAATATTTCAGAGGAATTTCCCCACACACACTGTAAGCTGTACAACAAGGAAAAGTCCTAAATATCAAAATATTGAGCTTGTTTGACACACCAGAGAGAAGCAAGCCCGGCGCCAGTAGGTGGGGCTTAGTGCACTGGAGATCTTATACCTCCCCCCATCATGATCGAGGAGTGAGCAGGACTCCCAGAGGTGGGGCTGTGTGCTTCCACTTGCAATGCACAGACACACAGCAGTTCATTGTAGAGGGAAATATCACCAAACTGCAAGGAAAAGTTGAATGGTGTATTTGATCCTGATTCTACGCAGGTACACATGATTTCAGCTGCAATGGCAGGCATTTACTGTACATTTCTCCCGAGAAAAGAGTGAGATCGTGTCATCTCATGCTCCCCATCCGCAGGTCACTTCCTGTAGAAATATGGACTAACTTAAACCTCGTTTTACTGCGATCACAGCAACTAACCCCATCTGGCTTATAAAGACTCGGTTACAACTTGATGCAAGGAGCCGTGGGGAAAAGCGATTGGGTGCTTTTGAATGTGTTCGCAAAGTATATCAGACAGATGGACTTAGAGGATTTTACAGGGGCATGTCTGCTTCCTATGCTGGCATATCAGAGACTGTTATCCACTTTGTTATTTATGAAAGTATAAAGCAAAAACTGCTGGAATGTAAGACTGCCTCTATGATGGAAAACGATGAAGAGTCTGTGAAGGAAGCATCAGATTTTGTGGGAATGATGCTAGCTGCAGCCACCTCAAAGACTTGTGCCACAACTATTGCATACCCTCATGAAGTTGTAAGAACAAGACTACGTGAAGAGGGAACAAAATATAGATCATTTTTTCAGACACTGTCTTTGGTTGTTCAAGAAGAAGGTTATGGGTCACTTTACCGTGGCCTAACAACTCATCTGGTGAGACAGATTCCAAACACAGCCATTATGATGGCCACCTATGAATTGGTGGTGTACCTACTCAATGGATAGCAGTGCGGGGCTGCTCCAGAGAGGGGAGACCAAAAGATTGCAGTGGACCATGGAGTATCCAAGCCAGCGTGGCGGACGGAAGAAAAGTAGTTTGGGAACATGTAACTATGCCTAAGTGGAAGTTTGGTTGTAGGAATTTAAGTAACCATACCGCATTACTTGATCTTTCAGTAATGAGGGAAAGAAAAACCTTGGCTGCCTCCAAGGAAATGCCTCTCAAAGCACTCCTTACGCAAAATTGCCATTTTCTCTACCATGTCCACCAGATGCAGTTGTGTTTCATTGATTTATGGCAGTCAGAGTATAGTGTTTATTCCATGAGCACGCACTTCTCCAATATTCTAAACACGTACTGTAACTATCCAAAGATAGTATTGGCAGTCATAAATTTCCAATTTCTGGCTATTAATTCCTGTAAAAGTGTTAAGCAACAACATTAGGGAGAGCCTTGGTATTACTGTCACATTTTCCCAAGAAGACCTTGCTCAATATTTTATGTTCAGTTATTTGGCTTTGCAGTCACTTTTTACAGCCAACAAGATAGCATCTAAATATCTTACATATTTTTAACATTAAATTTTGATTTCCACAGCTTACAAGTGTTTGATCTTTTGCATAATGTGGATTTTAAATTGTTTGCCAGTGTATCCAACTCACATGGTAATGGTTTGGGAAGATGAAATAAACTAGTAAAATGTTGATTCTTAACCATTTCAGTGACTTGAGCATGTCCTCATATTTTCCCTAATTGTATGGTACATGAATGAATGCAGTAGTCTTTTCAGTGACTTACTGGATATAAACTTGACTTTCTACCTATTTGTCACACTTTAGTATCATTACAAGTGGAAAACATACACCACTTCTCAATTTTTCTGTACTTGTTTTCACTTTAAGAATTTGAGCCCTTGAGTTGTTTTCAAGCCCATGTAGATTACATTTTAATTATTTTGTAGAGAAACTGGTAATTTTCTGTTTGGCCCTTGCAAGTTTTTATTTTAAAAATAACATACTAAAACTAATATGTGGGACAGTAACAGTATTAAAGATGAGGGCCCTCTGCATCTGATTCAGTGGGTAATGCTCTTAACTGACTTAGAGTTTGGCAAAAGAACAAGCTGCTTTTGACAAGAAATTTATTCTGTGCTGATTTTCTGAACGGTAAATCATAGCATTCAAGTTAGTTTGGGTTAAATGTATTAACAGGATATAACTTTTAAATTTTGCTATTGAGACAACTGTACCTTTTAATACTTTAAATGTATTCTATATATGGCCCTTATGAAGCTATCTGTTGTAATTCTGTAAGAGACTTTGCCTATGGATGTTGCTATACTGGTGTATAAAATGTCTACAATTAAACTCCAGTGTGGTATTCATGTCAGTAGACCTTAACTGTGCATTTTGTGCAGTGGCTTTATCTGCAGAATGACTCCTTGTGAACGCACTTTGTGGCCTTGTTTTGAGATATGAGAATAGAGAATTTCATGATAAAATTATATTTTTTAAAATATTAGTCGTGTATTGGGCAGAAACAGTGTTGCTAACTTTTTTGGGGTTTTAGGTATATTGTTTTGGAGACCTGCAGTATACATGTCTTAAGTATTCTGTGTGCCCTGTAGTGCCCCCGACACGATTGCCAGCTTACGTTGCTGACACCAGTGAAGTGCAGTGCCCCCTTACATTCTTCAACCTGACCTCTTGTAGTCAACAATAACTGGATGTTTCTGAGGTGCTCAATTGGAATCACGAATATTCCAGTCCATGTGGAGACCAAAGGCAATTGAGTTTCCTTACTTTTTATGGTAAATTTCAGCTTTGACATTTATTGTGAGGAACATACCAAAAAAAGAAAAGAAAAAAAAAGCAGGAGATTCTAACTTAAAAGTGGAGAAGTCTCAACCTATGGTGTTTACCTTTCTGGGTGCCACTGATACTGCCTAAGAATCCAGTGCCATTTGCCTCTGAAGACCCATCACCTCAGTTGTGTTGAATGTAGGGCAGAGACCTCCCTCTTCTCGCTGATCTCAGTACCCGCAAATGGTGAAGAGTGATATGAAAACCAGCAGCGAAGGAACACCTTACAGAGCTGTAGCAAATTCCTAACAAGTGTCCTTCCTGGATGACCATGAATGCTATTTCTGTTTGTATTTAGCAAGTCCAATTTGAGCTTCCGTGCATCATATTCATCTTCTGTGTGCACTAGAAGGAACAGAGTCTCCGTGCTTATTTGTACAGCAGCTAGAAGAACACCACTTGCTGTAGTTTATTTTTTGTGTGACGAGGATAATTCAAACAGTTTTTCAGAATTGCAGCTAACATGAAACATTGCAAGTCTTGCGGGTGAGGAAACCGGGACAGACTGTCATGCTCCGTATCCCAGAGCTACGGTAGAGCTGAAGTAGTGTGCTTAAGCAACAGTCATCTTGTGCTGAAGATGCTGCAGAGTGATGGCTGAGGTTGCTGTGGGTTAGCTCAAGTGTCTCAAGTTCAGACTGGTGTGGGTTCCCTCCTGAATGTCGAGGAAGGAATTTGTGAGTTCGTGATTCGGTTTCTCAGCACTTGGTGACATTAGACAGCTCAGGCAAGCAAGCACATTGTGTTCAGTGATTTCCTTGTTTTCCTCCTGACTGCATAGGCCAGCTGGCTGCCTTAGTTAATGTATTGAATCAATTCAAAGTGTGTAGTCCTGGGGTGCTGTGTTTGCACAATAGTTTTATGCGATCTCCAGCAGCCCACGATTAGATGAATAGAGTTAGTCACATCTTGTTTACTCACTTGGGTGCTTTGAAACTAGCCCTGGGCTTACTTGGTTACTCGTGGGCATTCTAGATGACATGGGGTGTTCACAGAAACTCTTAAAAGGAAAGATTTGTAGGAATTGACCCAGGATAAAACACAACAGAGAGTAATGAGAAATAAAGCTGAATATGTAAATCAGAAAAGTATGGGCTGTCTTAGAACTAAAACATAGACCCATAGTTTATATCCTCAAGCCACTGGGGAACCACTGGATTTTTTTCCCCTTCAAAGATGACCTCATAGAAAGTCAGACTTAGGGGCCAGCATTGTGGCCTTAGTGGTTTGAGCCGTCTGCAACACTGGCATCCCATATAGGCGCTGGTTCCTGAGCCAGCTGCTCCACTTCTGAGCCAGCTCTCTGCTCATGGCCTGGGAAAGCAGCAGAGGGTGGCACCTGCCTCTGCACCAATGTAGGAAACTAGGAAGAAACTGGCTCCAACCTGACCTAGCTCTGGCCACTTGGGGAGTGAATCAGCAGATGAAGATTCTCTGTGACTTTGGCTTTCAAATAAATAAAAATCTTAAATTTTTTTTTCTAAAAAATTAGACATGTAAGAAATTTTGAGAAGTTTGTGGAAAAATATAAAAGATAAATTTTATGCAAAGGATTTTGAAGTCCTACATATACCTTCAAAAAGTTCATGGGAAATGTGTAATACAAAAAATTGCATGATGTGGATCTGGTTCTAGAGCCCATGAGACTATTTTAGGCATGGAAAGCCAAGAACTCTGGGGAAAAAAAATGACCTAAATGAAAGATCTCTGCAAGTGAGATTCCAGTGTAAAGAACAGGCCATCAAAGAAGGAGGTACCTTTCTCTGAAGGGAGGAGAGAACTTCCACTTTGATTATGACCTTGTCTAAACATGGTAAGAGTCGGTGAACTCGAAAGGCTTCCATAGCCTTGGCAACTCATAACCGGAGCCTAGGGTGATTACTGATGCCATAAGCAAGAGTGTCAATTTGTTAAGTCAACAACAGGAGTCACTGTGCACTTACTCCTCATGTAGGATCTTGGTCCTTAATGTGCCGTACATTGTGACTTAATGCTGTAACTAGTACTCAAACAGTATTTTTCACTTTGTGTTTCTATGTGGGTGCAAACTGTTGAAATCTTTACTTAATATATACTAAACTGATCTTCTGTATATAAGAGAAATGAAAATGAATCTCGATGTTAATGGAAGGAGAGAAGGAGCGAGAAAGGGGAGGGTTGCGGGTGGGAGGGAAGTTATTGGGGGGGAGCCATTGTGATCCATAAGCTGTACTTTGGAAATTTATATTCATTAAATAAAAAAAGTATTTAATCAAAAAAAATCCCACTTTGAGCTCTTTTGCAATATAAAATTCATTTTTGTTAACATAGTCTACTATGTATCAGAACACCAGTGCTTGTTCCTTTTGTCCAGTTATAACATTGGCTAACATTTCCCCATCCCCCACTACTCTCCAGTAACTGTTCCACTCTCAAGTTCTATATCAACTTCCTATACTCCACATAGGAGTGAGCTCACATGGTATCTCTTTCCGTGCCTGGCTTATTTCACCAAACATTATGTTCTCCAGGTTCATCCATGTTGTCATAAATTTCAGAACTTCAACTTTTATGGCTGAATAGTAGCCAATTACGTATATATATGCCACATTTGCTTTATACTTTTGCTGCTGATTGACACCTAGGGTGATTCCAGATCTTCACTATTGTGATTAATGCTACAGTAAGCATAGGGGTGCACATGCCTCTCTAACCAGCTGATTTACTTTTCTTTGGATATACACCAGTAGTTGGATTGGTAAATCACATGATAGCTCTATCTTTTAATTTTTTAGAGGTGTTAAGCCATTTGATGCCTAGGATTTTGGCAACTTATAAGAAATACAGACAATGATATGGAAAAAAATATTTGAATAGCTCCAAATATATTTAAGAAATTAAATTCATTTTTAAAATATTTTCTTAGGGATAATTAAAGCCCTAAAGAATTTCACTGGCTAATTCTACTAAAGAGTTAAGGAAAAATAAAAGTACATTAAAATGTTCTTTCGGAAAATACAAAAGGATCAAATGCTTTCTAACTTATATTAAAAGAGTAAACAAAACCATGATATCAAAATCTAATAAGGAAGAAAATACTCCTAAATTATACAGGTGAGAAAACTGGTAACAATTTACAGCAAGTCAAATGTAGAAAAACATCAACATGAAATATGAACCCTTAGACTTCACTTTCTCTTTTGCATAGTTGAATCTGATGAGAGCTATACTTTCAGGCGCTTGCATTTCAGTTCTCGCCCGTTTGTTTCTAATACAGGACTCCCTTAAGTATTTCTTTTTTTTTTTTTTTTAAACTTTTATTTAATGCATATAAATTTCCAAAGTACGACTCATGGGTTACAATGGCTTTCCCCCCATACCGTCCCTCCCACCCACAACCCTCCCCTTTCCCACTCCCTCTCCCCTTCCATTCACATCAAGATTCATTTTCGATTATCTTAATATACAGAAGATCAGCTTAGTATACATTAAGTATGGATTTCAACAGTTTGCTCCCACACAGAAACATAAAGTGAAAAATAATAGATGATTTTTTTAAATGATGATGAAATCAGAGCAGACCTATTGTCATGTTTAATCCCAGTGAGAGTCAAGTTGGGAATTGATAATTTCTTTCTTTTTTTTTTTTTTTTTTTCAGAGGATCAGTTTAGTATGCATTAAGTAAGGATTTCAACAGTTTGCACCCCCATAGAAACACAAAGTGAAATATATTGTTTGAGTACTCGTTATAGCATTAAATCTCAATGTACAGCACATTAAGGACAGAGATCCTACATGAGGAGTAAGTGCACAGTGACTCCTGTTGTTGACTTTACCAATTGACACTCCTGTCTATGGCATCAGTAATCTCCCTATGCACCAGTCATGAGTTTCCAAGGCTATGGAAGCCCTCTGAGTTCTCCAACTCTTATCTTGTTTAGACAAGGTCATAGTCAAAGTGGAGGTTCTCTCCTCCCTTCAGAGAAAGGTACCTCCTTCTTTGATGGCCTGTTCTTTCCACTGGGATCTCACTCGCAGAGATCTTTTGCCAGAGTGTCTTGGCTTTCCATGCCTGAAATACTCTCATGGGCTTTTCAGCCAGCTCCGAATGCCTTTAGGGCTGATTCTGAGGCCAGAGTGCTATTTAGGACATCTGCCATTCTATGAGTCTGCTGAGTATCTCACTTCCCATGTTGGATCACTCTCCCCTTTATTTACTCCATCAGTTAGCGTTAGCAGGTACTAGACTTGTCTATGTGCTCCCTTTGACTCCCAGTCCCTTCACCATGACCAACTGTGAACTGAAACTGATCACCTGGAACAGTGAGATGGCATTGGTACATGCCACCTCGATGGGATTGAATTGGAATCCCCTGGTATGCTTCCAACTCCACCACTTGGGGCAAGTCAGCCTGAGCATGTCCCAAATTATACATCTCTTCCCTCTCCCATTCCCACCACCATGTTCAACAGGGATCACATTTCAGTTAATTTTCAACACTTAAGAATAACTGTGCATCAATTA